TGTGTGTATGTGTATATGTGTATATGTGTGTGTGTGTGTGTATGTGTATATGTGTGTGTGTGTGTGTGTGTATGTGTATATGTGTATATGTGTGTGTGTGTGTGTGTGTGTGTGTGTGTGTGTGTGTGTGTGTGTGTGTGTGTGAGGGAGGCAGGTGGGGGGGGAGGGGTCCAGACCACAAAGTCTCTCCTTGTGTCCGGAGCCTCCTCCTCCACGCACGCGCGCAGGCTGAGCGCGTGCGTGAGAGCAGCCGGCCGCGGGAGCGCGCACAGCCTCCGTTCAGCCTCCGGAAGCCACTCCCCCCCCCCCCCCCGCCCCCCCGGTAGATGGAGACCGGGACTCCACCGGGCGCGTCTGTCCGCTCCTGACCGGGAACAGCGTCTCAGGACCAGGAGACCGGGAGACCGTTTCAGATCTGGGAGGACCGTCTTAAGGACCGGGAGACCGTTTCGGAACCGTTTAAGGACCGGGAGGACCTCCTCAATACCGGGAGGACCGTTTCATAACCGGGAGACCGTCTAAAGGACCGGGAAGACCGTCTCCTTACCGGGAGGACCGTTTCAGGACCGTTTCAGGACCGTCTAAGGACCGGGAGGACCTCCTCAGGACCGGGAAGACCGGGAGGACCGTCTAAGGACCAGGAGGACCGTTTCAAAACCGGGAAACCGTCTAAGGACCGTATCAGGACTGTCTAAGGACCGGGAGACCGTTTCAGGACTGTCTCAGGACCGTTTCAGGACCGTTTCCAGACCGGGAGGACCATCTAAAGGACTGGGAGACCGTTTCAGAACCAGGAGGACCCTCTCAGAACCGTTTCAGGACCGGGACGAACGTCCCCTTACCGGGAGGACCTCCTCAGTACCGGGAAACCGTTTCAGAACCGGGAGACTGTCTAAGGACCGGGAGGACCGTTTCAGGACTGTTTCAGGACCGTTTCAGAACCAGGAGGACCGGGAAGACCGTTTCAGGACCGGGAGACCGTCTAAAGGACCGTTTCAGGACCGTTTTAGAACCGGGAGGACCGTTTCAGAACTGTCAAAACCGTCTCAGGACCGGGAAACCGTCTTAAGGACCGGGAGGACCGTTTCAGGACTGTCTAAGGACCGGGAGACCGTTTCAGAACCGGGAAAACCGTCTAAAGGACCGTTTCAGGACCGTTTTCAGGACCGTTTCAGGACCTTCTAAGGACCGGGGACCGGTCGGGATTCGGGGACGGACTGCTCCGTGCATCATGTGAAAACACCTACCCCCGGTAAGGTAAACCGGGAAAAGGTTCACCGTAAAGAGGGATGCGGTGCGTTATGTTGTGTGTTTGTTTCCTCTGGAGGAGGATTCTGGAGCTGATCCTCTTCTGGGGACCTGGGCGGGATGCGTTCAGTTTAGTCTCATCTCTGCGTTTTTAGGGATGTGAAAAACGGGTCTAACCTGGTGAAGGAAGCCCTTATATAAACGGGTCTAACCGGTCCCGGTTCCGGGAATAAAGCCTTCTTATTAAACACGTCCTTTAGGATAAAACAGAATAAAACAGAGATGTTCTCAGGCTGTGGATGGGAAGCACATTCAGATCATCTTTCCTGCAACAAACAATCGACATCTAGTTTACAAAAGCAGAATGTGTGAAGCATTCCCTTCATTAGTGTTTATAGAAATAAGAACTGGGTTTATTTTAAAGTGGGACCTGCTATTTTAAGCGACCCTCTCTGGGCAGAATGCAGAAACTGACTGACTCTCTGGGTCTGTCTAATCTCATCCCTTGTTTCCAGAGTGGGGGGGTTATTTATTTAATTAAAGTTCCCACCAGGGCTCCAGTTTGTGACGGATTGGTCTGTTATGATCATATTTTCTCATTTACAGACATATTTGCCCCTGGCATTAACACTTAAAAATAGCTTTACCAATGGTTCCACTTTTCAAATAGATCTCCAAATAGATCCAAACATGATGGAACACAGAGAAAAATATGGATGTATATTTAAAGATGTATTGCCTCATGGTTGTTTTGGGGGTTAGTAAGTTTTAGAAAAGGAGAAACCCAATCTGTAATTTATTCAAACCTTTGCCTGGAGCCTGTTTCTGAGCGTGTGTTTCTGTATTTACATGCAGTATTGGGTCTGATCCACATGTTCTGGCAGCCGCTGTCGATTGATTTGGAATAAAACCAAGAAATGGGCTCAGGATGTCTTCATCACGTCTGATTTACAGAAATGACTGCAGCTGGCAGGAGAAGTCGCAGACGAATGAAGACGCAGGATTCTGTCTCCTGGCGGGAGCATTCTTAATGTTCTTTTCATGCTCGGTGTGGTTAATATTTAAGCTAGCTTTAAGCTAGCATAGGGGGGCGGGGTGGTGGTTCAATTCAATTTCAATTCAATGTTATTTCTATAGCTCCACATCACAACAACAGTTATCTTTCCAAACAGAGCAGGTCAGACCTACTCTGAAGTTAACTACAGAAACCCAACAATTCCCACCATGAGCAGCACTAGGCGACACAGGCAAGGAACAACTTCCTTTAACAGGCACAAACCTGGAGCACAACCATGGCTCAGGGTGGGGGGGTGGGCATCTGCCTCGGCCAGTTGGGGGTGAGAGAGAGAGAGAGAGAGAGAG